AGGAGGCTGTGAGAGAGATCTGATGAATTTGGTACTATGGACAGAGCTACCTACTTTCATTGCAGTCCCAAACCCTGACCAGTAACTTGATGGTACCTTGCCCAGGAGAACACCTCTTCCGTGCCCTGGGCTGTTCTCCTGTCCCTGTTCAGAAACTGTGCAGGGATGCACAGCATTTCAGATGCCCAGGTGGCCTTCCTCCCTCCCTCAGGAGGTGCGGTCTGCTCTCCCCAGGCACACACTCAGCTACCAGGACCTGCAAGGCTCCCCAGAACCGCTGGAGGCAGAGTGGAGTCTCTGGTGTCAGCCCACATTCTTTCTTCCATTCTTCTACATCCTCTTCACACCAGCTAGCCAGGATGATCTGAGGCGTTCACTATTTCTTTTTGGCTTCCCCATTCCACAAAGCCCTCATCACAGCCCTGTCTCAGGCAACTTGTCATCTAAGGACAATGCTGCCTTCCTGGCATGACCTCTGGTGGCCTGAGGTGCTGCTGCGGGAGGATCCACTGCAGGAGGGCAAGGCTGACGCACAGGCACACCAAGCAGTGTCCTCCAGGAAGGCAGCCTCTGGGCTCTGTACCCCAACTGAACAGACTGCACTCTTCAGCATGTATGTTAGTAGGTGATTTCAGGGAATAATTCACATCTACAACCCAAAAGCTCAATATAGCATCCTTCAAAAAAATAGATGTGAAGGAAAAACACTGACTTATGTCCAGCACACATCTCCACAGGTAGATGTTTTCAAAAGCTGTATTTCATCAAAGGGATCTGCATCTGAGGTGGGGCAAATGAGGCAGCTATTTTACTTAACATTCTTACTGTTTGATGGTCAGAAAGTAATATTTTAAGCACTTCCATCCTAACGTAAAAGTCAGGATATAACTTTTTTCCCTCCAGTACTGGGGACTGAACCAGGATGCTCTACCACTAAGCCATACCCCCAGTCCTTTAAAAAATTTTTTTAAATTTTGAGACAGAGTCTCACCAAATTGCCCAGGATGGCCTCCAACTTGCAATCCTCTGCCTCAGCCTCCTTTCCTCCTAAGCATAAGAAAGTGATTAGGGATTTTGTGTTGATGAGAATAATCTTCCACTCACTCTTCAAAAACTATGCATTTCTAAACTCAAATACCATCTACTGTAGATTTTCCTAATTACGGATAGCAAATAAAATACTACATATTCTCAAGGTAAAATATTACATATCCTCAATCTTCTCTAACATTTTTCTGCTCTTCTCTGGTATGTGACCTCACCTGTGGCTGAAGACTTAAGAAAGCAATGCAGTCACTTCTGGGGGAAGAGGTTCTGTCTCTCCAAGCTCTCTAGCCCAGGAGGACAGACAGTAACTAGTGATTGTGGCAATTAACATGGTCAGAGAAAACAAGACGGGGCAGGTGCTAAAGTGCCATTTAGCCACATGCTGGAAGGTCACAGCCTTATAAATCCAGTTCTGTGTCATAATTAATGGCAAGATGTTTGTGACACATCAGTGTTAAATGGAGAGATGGGATACTGTACAGACGTGGAATTTGGTTTTTTGTCCTCACTTTTTAGATTCACAGTAGATGCAGCTGGCTGATGAAATTATGGGTGACATTTCCTTCTTCAAACATTTAGACATTTTCTCCATTTCTGCACTGGGTTTATACTAGCAAATAAATGGAGAAAAAAATGTCATACAAGTATTTAGGGGAACTTTTCTTAGGTTAAGTCTGCCAACCTTATCCAAACTCTCCAAAGCCCAATTTTATTGTTAAAAAATCTATGTAGATCTGTGTAAAAAATGAACTCAAATTCCTTACTTTTCAATTAAGATCACTTGGAATTCTAGAATTCTCACAGAATCACCAAATTTGGAGGTTGTGAAACCCCAACTGTCAAGGCTAAATAAGATACACTCAACACAAAACTGTTACTTACGTATTCTAAAGTAGGGTCCCTGCCCTGGTTAGGCAGCACCTGAATCTAATTTTTTGAAGAAGTTGAAGAACATATACTGAGAAGAACCTGCAGTAATCAATCCACTCCCCACAAAGAAGCGTCCAGGACCAGGGGCATCACCTGTGACCTCTGCCAAGCACTGCAAGAAGGAACGCCAGTCTTTCTCAGTCTTCCAAAACTCCGAGGAGGGAAGGAAAAAAATTGAAGATCAAATGAAAATGGAAAACTACAGGCCAATATCTCGGATTAACACAGACGAAAAATCCTCAACAAAACGGCAGTGAATCAACTCTAGCAGCACACTGAAAGGACTACACCTGGGCCAAGTGGGATGTGACTCTGGGGCAGGAGGACAGCTCACCCTGTGAGAATGGGTCACACCCAGCTAATGTGACCTAGTAGAGTTTGGTAAAACTCCACACCTTCCATGATACAGACTCCCAAGGAAGTGGGAACAGAGGGAAGTTAATCAGCATAATAAGGACACATGTGAAAAGCCCCCAGGTAATGCTCATCCTGAAAAACTGAACACTTTCTCTCCAATATCAGGAACCAGGCAAGAATGACCATAGCACTGGTGGACCTCAGGAAAACAGCCAGGCAATAAATGGGGACCAGAATTAAAAGGCACCTAAATTGGAAAGGAAGAGGTAAACTGTCTCTGTAGACAACAAGATCTTATATACAGAAAACCCTAACAATGCCACAGAAATTGTCAGAACTAATAAATTTAGTAAAGTTGCAAGACACAAAATCAACTACAAAAACCTGTGGCATTTCAATACATAACAGCAAACTATCTGGAAAGGAAATTAGGAGAACAATCTCATTTATCACCAAGAAGAATAAAACACCTAGGAATACTTGTATTCTAGAATCCACAAGATACAGACGAATGCAAAGACACCTCTGTGTTCAGACCACAAGAATTAATATTGCTAAAATATCTGTACTACCCAAAGCTAAATACAGATTCAACACAATCCCCATGAAAATTTTAGTGGTAGTTTATATAGAAATAGAAAAGATCAGTTCCCAAAATTCATATAGAAAACCGAAGATGAATAGCCAATCAATCCTGAGACAGAAGAGCCAAGTTAAGGCATTACTCTTGCAGAGGTTCAAATATGATGTTACGAAGTTACAGCAATCAAAACACAGGGTACTGAAGTACAGGCAGACAGCCAGACCCAAAGATGGGACAAACCTGCTTAGATGGGGTCAACTAATGTGTGACAGCGTTACCTGAACCCACGGTGGAGAAGGTAGGTACAAGCAGTGTCAGGAAAACTGAATATCCACATTCACAAGAACAAAGCTGCACTCTGGTCTTACACCATACACAAGAATCAATTCAAAGTGGATTGAAAACTTAAAGTGAAAGACCTTGAAGTATAAAACTCCCATTAAAAAGCAGCAGAAAACCTTTACGACAGTGGTCTGGGCACCGATTTCAGGGATATGACACTAAAATCACAGGCAACACAAGAAAAACGAACACATGGGACTGCATCACACTAAAAGGCTTCCAGTGCCAGCAGAGCCCAGAGGGGAGGCTGGGCAGACACCAGCTCAGAGTCTGCACTGATACTGGACATCAACTCCTCATTTCAAGTTCTCTGAGCCTCCACTGTCAATCACTGTGGGAGTGACTGGAGACCAGAGATGACAACGCACAGCCCTGCTTACTGCACACTTCCAGAAGAGACCATGAGGCTGCAACTGCAGGAGGGCTGAGTGAGCCCCAGCAGAGCCCATCAGGACGGCTTCTCCAGGGCCAAGACAGGGGTCTAAGACCAGCAGGGGACCCGCCCCACTGCACCCAAGGATCACAGCAGACTTCTTTCCTTTTTAAATAGTTAACATTTTATTCCTAATGCAATAGAAAAGCTTAATTTTTTAAAATTGTGGTAAGAGCGCTTTAAAATGAAATCTACCTTAATCTATTTTCTTTCTCTCTTTTCGGCAGTGCAAGGTAAGTGTCCTACCACTGAGCTACACCCCAGCCCCATTTTAACAAATGTTGAAGTGTGCGATACGTTATTACTGAATACAGATACAATTTTGTACAGCAAATCTTTGGAGCTTACTCATCTTGTTTGATCGATAAGCCAGGCCCTGGCAACCAACACTACGTTTTTCTGATTCTATGAATTTGAGTGGTTTAGAGTCCTACTATTAGTAAATCCATGCAATATTTGTTTTTCTTATTTCACTCAGCATGATATCCTGAAGGCCCTTGTGAAATATGCCTTGTTTTTTGTTTTGTTTTTTATTTTAGTGGTACTAGGGATGGAATCCAGGGCCTCATACCTACTGAGCAAGTGCTCTGCTACTGAGCTACAAACCCAGCCCAGACATTTTTTTATATTTCAGGGGATCCACAGACTTTCCTCCAAGGAAAAAAACCCTTGGTTCCCTGATCTATGTTGTGGCTCATATAAATGCTTATATGGAATTGTCATTTAGCATGCTTTAAATATTTTTCCTTTCCTTCTTTTTTTTGAAGCAGGATCTCCCTGTGCCACCCAGACTGATCCCGTACTCCAGGATACCCCTTCTCAGCATCCCAGACAGGGGATCTCCAGGTGTGCACCAGTATACTCAGCTTAAATGTTCAAGAGACAAAACGTGCTGCCATAAACCCAGGGAGGTACATGATGGTACACGTCTGGGCATGATGGTACACATCTGTAATCCCAGCTACTCAGGAGGCTAAGGCAGGAGGACTACAAGGTCGAGGCCACTCTGGGCAACTTAGTGAGACCCTCTCTCAAAAACTAAACTAAAAACCCCAAATTACAACAAAAATATCTCATGAGGGATAAGCTGATAGAACCTTGCTCACTCTAGCTTTGTAACCAGAAGGCACATTAACTATTTTACAGCCCAGTCCCATACTAGGAACACAACAAACAAGAGCTATGGGTCCTGCCACACTAAAGGAGGGTGAGGGCCAAATAGGGAACACTGGTGTGGCCTGAGTGAGGGGTTCCAGAGTGGAAGCGGGGAGCACAGTCAGAGGACACACCAGGTTGGGGAGGAGGCACCTGGTTAGACAGTGGCTGCTGGGCTGCCAATGGGAGCAGACTCAACGGGGCCTGGACAGCAGGCAGGAGCCAGAGTCAACGCTGAGGCCCCTGCCTGGGGAGACAGGGTGAGAGGGCTGGTGGGCAGAGGCCACTCGTGGACACCGTGGTCTGTTTGCTTGTGGGATATGAAGAGGCCCTATCTAGCCGACAGCTGGGTGCTTGGCCCTGAACTTAAGAGATTTGTGCTGTAGACCGGGAGCTGGAAGATAGCCAGAAACACACCCTGAGGGAAGGTATAGTTGCCCAGAGAGAAGAGTCCAGGGTGGAAACGAGGACCATGAGGAGTGTGAAGAGGCAGAAAGAGGGATGGGGGACAGAATCAGCAGAGTGTGTCTTCCTGGGATTGGCTGCTCCCTGCTCAGGCACCACTAAAACCTGTTTTCCTAAAGATGCTTCTCTGAATTCTTTGGGCACCTTTAATTTTACAAATCAGAGGAGAGCTACATAAACAAAAATGTTTACAAACATCTAAAAATGTGGTCTTGCAATAAATCAAAGTCAATATGTGAAATATACATTAAAATATTTATTATTAAAAATAATAACTGGGGCTGGGTTTGTGGCTCAGAGATAGAGTGCTCGCCTACCATACGTGGGACACTGGGTTCCATCCTCAGCACCACATAAAAATAAAGATACTATGTTCACCTATAACTAAAAATAAATATTTAAAAAATAATAACCATAAAGGAAGTTTGGGAATAAGTGCTACCTAGTGATAATGGGTGCTCTCACACATAACACCCATAATTAGGATGACAGAAATATGAAGTAAGATCATGTATCTACTATTTACATTCCCAAAACACAACACCCAATCTTTGCAAAAATGTTGCTATTTATGAAATGTTTTTACCACACTCCTATTTCTTACACAAAAGCCACAACGTAGTGGGCAGGATCTTTATTCCCTCTCTGCTAACGAAGGACGTGTACTCAGCGAGGTAAAGAGCCTCTCCGGAAGCCTCAGCGTGGGTCCTGGTAGAGTCCCCTCCACTGGGCCAGGAGGGAAAATCTTCCAGCACAGACTCTGAGTGTCAGTGTGCGTGAGTGACAGATGTGGAGAGGGGGAGGGAGGTGACGGAGAGCAACTGCAGACATGTCTTTCCCAGAGGTGACCACAAACTGAGAGTGCGAGAGGTAATGGACTCACCCAATCGGCTCCGTCTAATCTCTTCCGGGGACACGGGCCGTAGCTTTCTTTCTGCTTTAATTTCTTCTAATATTCTTTCATGCAGGCTCCGAGGCCGTGGTGGGGTTGGTTTCAGTTTTCTGGCTGAAGCCTTGAAAAAAGAGTATAATGGCTAGAGATCTGGGTGTTCGTGCTTCAACAGTCTTTCCAATATCGTGATTTATATTTCATGGACTGGGCTGCTGCTTGATAACCAGTACAAGTCATTAAACATCACGATTCCTCAAGCAACAGGAAGAGCACAGGGTTCCACCGTGCTTTGGTCATGAATGCTCTGCTCCGCTCCCCTGAAGCATCTGTGCTGCTCAAGTCACACCCATAGCCCTGGATGCTTACAGGGCAGGAGTCAGCTGCGCCTGATCATTGCCCTCACTGCTTCCCCAGCTGACGACCCTGACTGACCCACCACAACCTTCTTAGACTATTATTATTTTCTTTACTCTGTGGAAATTAAGGCTCAGAGAGGCCAATTAATGGCTCGGAGATGCGTGCCTACTGGGCTGCAGAGCTAGTGTGCCTGTCAATTTCACCTCACCCCAGGCTCTTCCTGATGAGTATTCTGACTCTGTGGTCACCAGAAGGAACCTGGTTAACAGAGGAGATAAGAAGGCCGCTGTGCTAGGTGGTAGAAGGGATGGGTACAGCAACAGGGCCCGGGAGGCCTTCTTCCTAGAAACCACCAGGCCTGCCTCAACCGAGCAGCTGTCCAGCCAGGTCTTGCACCAGAGTTGGGTGTTTTGAGTAAAAACACCCTGATAGCCTCATATTGAATGAGTTTAGTATTTTTCTATGACACTTGGGTTTCATCGTTCTTAAAAGGAAAGCTCAGATACACCAACCACTAGGGAAAGCTGCCTTCTAGGGAGGAGCCCTGGCAGGGAGTAGCTCTGGCAGCGAGGGGAATGTCAAGTTACATACGGGGTTTAAAGGAGGTCTTGACCTGATGAAGTCCAGGATGATCTCGTGAGCGCTCTTCTTTAACCGAGGAGGAATGTCGCCATTCACCTACGGAGACAAAAGGTAAAGACCCAGCTGACCCCAGGATGTACCATGGTGAACTTCTAGGTAGAAGTGTTCCCCAAATGACGATGCAAAACTGGTGAAGTGCAGTCTGGCTCCCCCAAGGACACATGTCAAATCAATAAAAAGGAGGAAAAAATCTGTGATTCTCAGCAAAAGTAACTGTGGAACTGAGAAAACACCCACAGTTCCCATTAGTCCCACCATTTTGAGATATTTGAGACACAGCCTTCCAATCAAGTTTCTCAAATCATGCATGTGAACGGAATAAACACTGTGATTATAAAGCCTTTTATAATATAAAAAGACTTCACTTCATATTCTCACCCTTGGAAAAACCAAGGTAGCAGGAAGGACAGGTGACACACATCATATTCTGTAAATGAAACTCTAGTAGCGGAGGAGATGCTGCCCATGTTCCCAAGACCAGTAGGCAGAAGAGTTACTGCAGCCCCAGTTGCCTCTCACTTAAATACTCTAAGATCTTCTCATTTTACAGCAAGAAGTTTTTTTTTCTAATTCTTATTTTTTTTTAAGAAATATGAAAAATCCTCAGAAAGCCGCAAAAGTAAGAACCTGAACTCAGTCTGACACTCCAGAAGGCACAGCTGTGACCACTTGGCCACCTTTGCTCCCCAATCTTGTTTGAACAAAACAGAAACTGAACTGCACCTCCAGGCCTGTGGCTTCTTCCTCCAGGCGCCCTCCCCAGGCCTGACCAAGGCCGGGTGGCCCCACAGCAAGTCTCAGCAGCAATAACCAGCCCAGCCCAGCCAAGCATGTGGCCTGGCGGCTGGGGCTTGGACTAAAGGTAGGAGCTGCGACTTGGAAGCAGAACCCGGGACCTGATATGACAGGGGTTTCATGTTATATAAGATTTAAAAAAAAAAAATCCTTAGTGTATGAAGCAATGAGAACTTCCTATTACTCACAATGCTACTCCGGAGCAGAACAGCATCTACCTTTACAGCTGATTTTTGTATGCTTTACTCTTCTTTCCATCACAGTGGCAAGACGCAGAGATAGCACAGCTGGCTTAAATGAGGCTGGGGTTGTGAACCCTGTCACCAAACAGCCTCCTCAGTGGCAGGAGCTGCCTCCTGGTCCCTGCAATGAATGAGGGTCAGTAGCATGCTACAGAGGACAGGAAGGTGGGGTAAGCAGGTAAGCACAAGCAGCCCTGTGAGGCCAGCCTGCTGGCAGGGCAGGATCTCCGGGTACACATCAAGCCTGAACTGCAGAGGAAAACGTGTCCTGCGTGGACACAAACAGTAGACTCAAAATAAGTTACATCAGTTACAGAAACCTGATCTCAATTTTGAGCCAAATAACTTAAACAAACATAAAACTTCTAGTACACAAAAGGATCCCCTTTCAATATTTTAAAACATCTATCCTGAACTCTGCATTGTTTCTGAAATAAATTTTTTTTTTTAGGTAACTGAACTTTAAATAGATAAAGGGAATCTTATTAACATATTTACAAACACACAAGGCCAAAGATAATCTCTTCTCCTATTAAGATATATATCATGGGGCTGGCAGAATAGCTCAGTGACAGAGTGCCTGCCTAGCATGTACAGGCCCCAGGTTTGATCCCCACTCCCCATAGATAGATACAATTAAATTACTGAATTGGTTGTTTAGTTACAAAGTTATAAGCAGATTACATGATAAATTTTTCTCCATGTTTTATTTGAATTTTAAAAATTTGTGAATTGGGGGTACTGCTAGGGATTGAAATGGAGAAAACCATGTTATATGAATATCAAAATTCATAAATGCACATAACACAGACCCCCTGTTTTGAGAAGGTACTGGGGGTTGAACCCAGGGGCACTCTACCACTGAGCTATAACCCCAGTCCTCTTTAAACTTTTGAGACAGGATCTCATTAAGTTGCTGAGGCTGTCCTTGAATTTACAATCCTCCTGCCTCAGTCTATCAAGCTGTTGGGATTATAGGCATGTGACACTGTGACTGGCTGAACCCCACTATTATGTATAAATATAATACACTAAAAAATTTAAACACATCAAAAAATCGTGAATTACAATAAATACAACTACAACAGAAAAATGCTAAGTTTTTACATCTATTTTTAAAGGACAAAGTTATTTGTTAGAAATAACGAAATAAAGCATTCCGCTCAAACATTTTGGGATTAAAAAAAAAATCAAATAAAATGTTTTACATCTCTATAATTTAATATTCCAAACAATATATAATAGAGTTGAGTCAGTCAATTGTCACAAATAGTATTACAAATATGCAGAAAGCAGAGAATTACTGTGGTACATCTATGTAGCCTAAACCTTAGGATTAAACCTAAGACACCATGGCACAGCACCTCAGGGATGCATGGATCGTGAGTGAAAATGGTGTGCACTTACTCTTTACAGAAACATTTATGAAGCCAGGGACAGTGGCATGTGCCTGTAATTCCAGCAGCTTGGGAGGCCAAGGCAGGAGGATCACAAATTCAAAGCCAGCCTCAGCAACTCAGTGAAGCCCTAACAACTCAGTGAGAACCTGTCTCTAAATAAAATATTAAAAAGGGCCATAGATGTGGCTCAGTGGTTAAGCACCCCTGGGTTCAGTCCCTGGTACCAAAAAAAAAAAAAAAAAACAAGAACAAAAACAAAAATCCCACCTAAATAAATAAACAAACAAACTACAGCCACTAGAAAATACTGCAAAGTACCTGCTGTGTTCTAAGCATTTCCTAGGACTATGTATCTTTGTACTTTTTGATACACTGCAGCCCTATGGGGCAGGTACTTTTACCCACATTTCAAAAACGAGCAATCCAAGGCACAGAAGCAAAACAGGCGGAACCATACGGTCAGAGCAGACCCAAGACTCAAACACTAGTGCCTGCTTCCAGAGCCTCTGCTCTGGGCCACTGCACTTAGCTGCTTAAACACATTAAAGAGGTGCCTAAACTTATTCATAAAAACATGAGATTTATAAATAAGAACACATTTTTACCTGTAGACTGGTAGATAAAGTCTGACTATAGAGCATCATTAGTGAAGAGCCGGGGAAAGGCTTTATTATGCATTTTTGAAAACCTCAGGTGAAAGGACTCACAGGTCAGTTTTCCTATGTGGCCTCTGCTGCTCGCCACTCTTGAGACTCCAGGACACTGCTGCCCACACTCCATGTGCTTGCTCCTGTTCATACTGACGGACCTTGGGTTACGCTCACATTGTTGCTGTTGCAGACAACACTATCGGGCATACTGCTGTACGCGTCTTCCGGCACCACACCCTCACAGTCCATTTAAGAAATTGCCTACCTGAAGCTCATGGAGACTCTGTTACCTTGCAGAAACTGACTGTTGCACATTCACTTTGAGATCTAAAGCCACATGAGACTGAGTTTTCTCTCCTGTGTATACTTTGAGGTAAAGGTCAAAATGTACTCTTTTCCCATAAGGAAATCTAAATGAACATATACCATTTATTGAAATGTCATTCTTCCTCCACTGCTTTACAGTGTCACCTCTTTCACCACCAAATGAACACACAGGTCCAAATGTGTTTCTGCTGTCTACTGACAGTCTGTGGACCATGGGTTCCAATAAGTGGAACCTAGCCCTGCCTTCTTAGACTGCAGAACCCTGGGGCCCTTCACTTCTGAGTCCAGTGGGTCTTCCAGGTGGTCTGTGTGCACTGTGGAGGGCCGTGGTGGTGGTGTCTCCATCTCCCTCTGGGAGCCCCCTGCTTCAACATCCTCTCCTGCCATCCCTGAGAGAGTCCCTTGCCCACAGGCTGGTGCGATGACCTAATCTCCACACTCCAACATCTGGACCGCTGTGGGGCTTGCTCCAGGACTCTCCCTCCAGGCCCAACACATCTGGGATGCTCAGTGTGTCCTGTGTTCTACGCTTCTCTGCTAGACACACGGAAAAACCCATTTCTGTTCCTAGTATTTTATTTAATGAACACACTGACTGCTTCACTTTGCAGAATGAACATCTGCAAACATCATTATATATAAAATGATCAATCAATTTTTGGTTCTGTGTAAGCTTCTCAAATCCTGTACTTCAATTCTAGTCACATGTTCATATGTAGGGGGCCCCTCGTGTGCATGAACAAAGACCCACCCAAGGCTAAACTCCAACCTGCAGCTCCTTCTCCTCTATCACAGTCATACAAAGTAGTTGGGTTCATTTTAACAGAATGTCCCCATTTCCCTCTTTTTTCCTCTCCTCCTTCCTCCCCTATTCTCCTGCCTCTACTCAAATCCCTTTGCTCATTTATTTGTTCATTTCTGACAGGTTCTTTCTACTTGTACATGAAGGTGAAATTCCCTGTGGCACCTTTATGCATGTACCTAACATGATCTTGCTAAAATGATTCTGCAGTGCCCCTCCCCTCCCTCTTGATCTCCTCCGTCTATGCACTGATCATCCCTGAATCTTCCTTTTTTTTTTTTTCTCTAGTATCAGCTTCTTTAGGATGGTGGTTTCTTTGACAAATGCTGAACTGGTTCATAAAGTTTATGGTAGGTGTAAACAGCAAGACTTGTGATGTTTACAGAACGAGGCCACTCTGCTCAGGAACAGGGTCAGCTGAGGATGCAGTGCTCCTGTGCCACCGAGGACTCCTCCATTCCATGTGAAATACTAAAACCTAAGAAGGCCTGATCTTGTTTTTTTTGTTTTGTTTTAAATATTTATTTTTTTAGCTGTAGTTGGACACAATACCTTTATTTTATTTATTCATTTTTATGTGGTGCTGAGGATGGAAACCAGGGCCTCGAACATGCGAGGTGAGCGCTCTACCACTGAGCCCCAGCCCAGCCTGAAGGCCTGCTCTTCAGGTGGAGGTGTCAGCCTCACTGAAGTACCATACGCACACAGAGAGGAAGTACGTGCATGGAAGGGGCTCCACTGAGCCCCCTGCCCAGCTCAAGGAGCAGAACAGTGCCACCTCACCCCAGCCACCCGCTGCAGTCTTCCCCCAGCAGCTGCC